TTAGCCTTTCCCCTATAAATGTCTATCGCGACAAAAAATTTATTTTGTGAACAGGAAACGTAAAAAAATACATCTAAGCGGTTTTAGATAGAAAATTAAATTCTTAGTTCAATGATATAATTATTCAAAATTACGTTCAAGATGTTAGCCTTTCCCCTATAAATGTCTATCGCGACAAAAAATTTATTTTGTGAACAGGAAACGTAAAAAAATACATCTAAGCGGTTTTGGATAGAGAATTAAATTCTGAGTTTAATGATTTAATTATATTCAAAAATACGTTTAAGATGTTACCCTTTCCCCTATAAAAGTCTATCGCGACAAAAAATTTATTTTGTGAACAGGAAACGTAAAAAAATACATCTAAGCGGTTTTGGATAGAGAATTTAATTCTGAGTTTAATGATTTAATTATATTCAAAATTACGATTAAGATGTTAGCCTTTCCCTTATAAAAGTCTATAGCGACAAAAAATATATTTTGTGAACCGGAAACGTTAAAGAACATTTCAATAAAACTGTTAAAAAAAAGTCCTCAAATAGTGAAAAATCCAACGATGTAGCTAGCCACATAAGGGTAAATATAGCTGATTCAAGGTTATCAATGATTTGCATGCCAGCTTTCTGCGCTAATAATGCCTCTGTAAATTTTGGCCAAAACTAAAGTTACCGAATTGAGGCCGCACAAATGAATTATTACCAATTGGCTGTATATGCCATATATACTACATAGTTCTTGCAAGAAGGCAATGAATGTACTGTCTGTGGATGTCGAAATAATTGTGATGAAATATTTTAACAAATTTACTTCAACTAAAAGAGTTAATGAATTAAAAGAGTTGGTGAAGTGGTCTGACTTGGAATGGTGTGAGTTGTTGGGATATATACCTATCAGGTGGTTGTCATTAATACCTGCCATCGATAGAATTTTAAAATTTTACAAACCCTTAAAAAAATACTTCTTAAATAAAGATTTTAAAGGCTGTCCTAAAATTTGAAAAAAATTTTCTAATATGAAATGGCAGAAGTATATTTGGGATTCTTTTCACATGTAGGAAATCTACTGCATGCAGTTAATATTCAGTTGCAATCAGGATATTCTTTATTATAAATGATTCACAAAATTATGCTACAGCTCTGTTCATCTCTATATTTAAAAATTGAAAATAAATTTTATGGCGCTATTGCTAAAAATATTATATTAAAATGTTCAAATAATACTCTAATTAATACATATTTAAATAATGCAGATATTTTTATTCAGACAATTTTAGAATATTTACAATCAAAATTTGATTTTAATAACTCTATTTACAATTATATAAATATTATGACCTTGGAACAGAAACCATCAATTAAGGTTTTTGTAATTTAATAAATATATTAAAAATACCGAAAGACATTGATGTCTTATTTGAAAAGATTTTAATTCTCGCTATTTTTTATGATTCGCCAAAACTTCTCCTTACCTCATTCTACTCATCCGAGCGCATTTTTAGCCTGAAGAGGACTGCCTGGAAAAAAGGAGAGAAATCGGATTTAACAACATTAGAGAACGAGCTAATGGTTAAATAATGTATAATATGTCATGCCAGGATTATTATAATCTCAATAACGACGATAAACATTTAGTTCTATTATTTAAATCTCAAATAAAATATAATTATGTTTTAGCAAGGGCGCCATAAAATTTATTGTCAATTTTTAACTGTAAAGATGGACACATCTGCAGCATTATTTTGTGAATCTTTGTTAAGATTCTTCCGATTGCAACTGCACATTCTACATGTGAAATCATTCCTAAATATACCTCTGCCATTCATTATAAGAAATATTTTTTAAAGGTTTATAAAATTTTAAAATTCTATCGATGGCCGATATTAGGAACATATCGCAACCAACATTGTGTAGACTCGCTTCTGTAAATACACTCTGTTTTTTCCAAATTCACTGAGGCATTAACAGATCAGAAAGCTGACATGCAATTTATTGATCATCTCGAATCTGATATTATATGGTTAGCTATGTCTTTGGATTTTTCACTATTTGAGGGGAAAAATTTTAATAGTTTTATTGAAATGACCTTAATTTTGTTGAAATAGCGGAAGATCAAGGGAAATCCCTTTAGATGCATCTGTTAGAATTGCATATATATGCCCATCTTTCAAATCGTCAAAAATTGACCTCCTGGATTTAGGTCTTAAAACATTAATGATAGCCTTGCTCATTTGTTCTACAAGTATAATTTTCATTTATATTAGAGTCGTTAAATATTATGGAAAAAAGATTCTACCAACATTGTGATGATAAGTATCTCTGTGAATGTTGTACTACAAGATAAGTACCTGTAGTTGCATCTGTATTATATCTTATTTTGTAGTACCTTATTATGTATTTAAACGTGATACTTGATAATTAAGCGCCTATCCCTATAATGTTATACACACACACGGTAGATTTCCAATTGCGGTCGTTTTGAGGGACATTCGCTTAAAATATATTTTTAATTGTAAAATTAAAATCGTTTTTTATATTTAAAAAAGATCGTTGGTTTTTTTTATAAATTAATATAATTTAATAAATCAAGATTTTATTGTATTTTGAAAAATAGTTACCGACTTTGTATTTATATAACTAATTATAAAAAATAATAGGCGGATAATTAAATCAATTCAAAATCCCGGCCGCAGGCCGCCCGCAAAAAATTGTTTTTTAGCAATTTTTATATTTCTACCGCAATTTTCATGTTTCTCCCACATCTCCCTCAATTTGAAAATTTTGACCTGACAACCCTGAGTATGAACCAAAAGTTATTAGAATTTTAAAAATTATCAAATTTAGATTGAACAAAGAATCTAAAGAAAGCAATTATAATAAAAAAATTAAATGAAATTATCATTATTTATAAAATCAACTTTTTTCCTTATTTCAAAATATGAGGATAAAGATAAAAGGCTAACTCGATATTTTATACAAAAGAAAATTAAGCTTGGAAACTTTTCCGACAGATGACATAACTTGCGGCAACTTTGGAAAATGTTATATCAAAATGAGATGGATTGGTTATGGTAAAATCAATTAGGATAGCTAATTATTTTCATCAAGCCGCGAATAGGTTGAGCTATTAATAAAAAAAATTTAGAAAATAATTTTTAAAAAATATAACCAAAAAAAATGATGTATTTTAATTTTATTATTCATGACATGACATGAAGCCACCCAAGCTCATTTACATTGTTATCAAATCAAATGAAAATATAGTATATTAAAAAAATTTAAGCAAATTCCAATATTTAAATAATTAATAACCTTAAGGAATTTTAAAGCTATATAACAAAATTAATACAACCAATTTTTTCCCAAATTTTTATAGCAAGGTCAATATCGTAACTTGAACTGCGAACTCATTAGAGGAGCATCATTGAAATTAGAGGGGGGATAGTTAGTTATGAAATAATTATCATTATTTGAAAAATTGGAAAGTGGTGAAAGGTATTTTTTTTTTATTGAATATGAAAGTAGAGCATTGTCATAACATATCGTCTAAACCAATAGGTTTGTTTGTTAAATATATAACTGAAGTGTAAATTTTTAAAAGAATCACTGATTTGAACAAAGACTGGTTAAAAATAACCATGGGAAAAAAATCTGACAAAAACACCCCGATATAAATTTATATGCTTTAATAAATAAAAGGAAAATGTAATCCTCGTTTTAAACTTTGCCCTTTAGTGTAATACTTGAGTATTATTTTAATAGTACTTTATAATAATGTTGCTCATCAAAAATGATCATATTTGTAAGGGGAAACAACTATATGACTCAAGGGCTAGGAATATGAATTTTAAAATAATTTTATAATGCATGACGAAAGGTAGTTATTTTTGAAATATTAATCGTGGGATTGATGTGGTAGATAAAGAATGTGTCACACACATATAAAAGAATTTGTAAATACCCTCATAAAATCTATATCTTGATGAATGAGTCTTAAGTAACCAGCTAAATTTTATACCAAAGTATCCTATATTTTTGTCACAAAAAAATAATGAAAATATAAAAATTTTGAGACTATTATATAAAAACAAACAAAATTTTTATTATTGTAGATAAGAATTTAAAAAATTAAACATTCAATGTTATATTAATAGCGATTCCTTTAAGATAATCTAATCTTGATCGATTTTCGAAGTCAGAAACAATTGTTACTATTCTCGCATGTAGATTTCGATATTTTTTTCTCTGGGTAGAGGGTGTTTCACCAGAATTATATTGAGCAATTTTTAACTCTGTCAACCCTTGTTGTTTTTTTAAGCCTAGGAAAAATTATATAGTTTATTAGTAAATCTTTATACTTTTTAAATCATTTTAAAATAATAGATATATAGATAACTTGATATAAATTTCCACATGTTTGGATGGTAACTTGTTAGGAGGGAACTGAAGCATCTATGCCACCCTTCAACCGCGTTGTTGGTTTTCGCTTCCCCGTTCAGTGTTGATTGGTAACAATTCCAGAGTTCAATATTAAACAAAGCAGGTAGTCTGCCTCTTCCAAACGTTTTACCAATATAAGCTTTTTCAAAAGTTTCAATTAGAGGCTGAAGTAACAATTGATTATTAGAATAAAATTCGGAGTTTATTAGTAATTCAAATGTTTCAACTACATTTAAAGGTGGCACAAACGCCAAACAAACCATCATTCTAAGTTGTATATTAAATTCTACATCTGTTTTATATTTATGCGATATTTCTGGATATTTTTGAATGTTTCGCCAAAAGGATTGGCCAAAATGGAAATAGCAACATTTGTGTTGCGAATTGGGAAACACTTCATTGAAAGCTTTTACACTGGCCATTTCAAAATCCGTCATAATTTTTTTTGGAGTTGATATTAAGTTGTCACCTATAATAGTAAATATTCTTTTATAAGTTTCATAATCCTTTCTATTGGTCAATATATATATGAGAGGTAAAACATTATTATTTCTAATCCCATGAATTGTATAAATTTGCATAAATAAAGGTGGCGACGATTTAAATGTACCATCAGAAAACCAATGTTCGCATGAAGCTAAGAAGTCCAAATTTTTTCTTGTTCCAAATATGATAACACGGTCGGGAACCTGACACACATGATAAATAAATAAGCAATTATAATAAAGTGTTTCTTATCGGGCAGCTTATCGCAACAAAAATGAAGGATTTAGTTATATTTGTTCAAAAAATTTATAGAAAATCTTACCGGACCATCATCATGAAGTATGAAATCCTCATATTTATCCGTAATTGAATATTCATGCGGAATTACCAGCTCAATAAGGCTGCTAGGATTCGGAGGTGCAAAACTGTTTGAACTCCGCGTTCGGTGAATTATACGTTTCATAAGATTCGGTGATGGTAGTGCCATTGATATAGAATCACTTAATTGAGATACGTGTTTCGCCACAATAAAGTTTGGAGTTTCCATAGTATTATTCAAAGCTTCATTTTTAATTGAATTGATTATTTTCTTGGTTTCCATTTCGATTGGATTTTCTGGATGATTGTGTATTTCATTATTATCTTTTATCTTACCATTTTTTTTGTGAGTCGTACGGGACATTTAAAAATATCCTGATTGATACATCTATAATAATTAGTATCTGAGACTACTTTATCCAGGCGGAACAAATAATTTTTAAAGGTTAAGATCTCCTTATTTTTGCTTGATAACATATTTTATAAGACTCCGAAATAAAGAGGAAAGAATGGCGAAAATATTTATAATTTATAACCAAAGGAATGGCACCAGCCAGACGGGAAATTTTTTTTTTTTAATTTCGGCAATACTTTTTTTTTAAATAGTTATAATTTATCAAATATGTCATTAATTATTTGTTAATTTTTAGTGTAGCTATTTTTTTTATTATATTTTAAAATTATTTAAGATTCAATAAGAACCCATATCAAAATATTATATTTAAATTAATGCCGAGTTATTAAACTAAAAATTTTATCACGCCCCCTCCCCCCCCCTTCAAATAAACAGAAAAGATAAAAAGATATCTATAAAGATTGAAAATAATAAAATTAATAAATATTTTAAATTGGGGAAATCCCTTATTTCACTTAGATGTAATTTATTTTTGAATTGCCATTCAAAATTGATATTCTAAACAGTAATGTTGTAGACTTTATTCATCTACACTGTTTAAGAATAGTGACTGCCAAAACCACGGTTGTGCATTTGACCGATCAAATATAGTTAAAATCAAATAAATATTATTTTATATTGAATATCATCATTTTCTTTAATATTTTTTAATCAATTTTCTTTTTGTCTAAATCTTCAATCGATTTCTGTTTTAGTAAGATTATTGACACAAATAGACCAATTTCTTTCTAAAGAAGAAGTAGATCAAGAAATTGTTAGTAATGTCACTTCTCTTAATGGCCATGGTGGTCAAAGCTAATTCCACTGCTTGAGTTTGAAATCTGATTGTTTCTTATGGAAGTTACTGCTATCCCCATGATTTTCTATTAAACAAGCCGCTTTTATTTCTGAAATTTATGATATAGCTTGAAATATTTTGATCACCACCTTGTATGCCTAATTCTTTTATTATATTACATACTTCATTAAATTCACTATGATTAAAATGCTCTCCTTAATATTAGGAACTCAATAAGCATTGTGATCACATTTCACATGTATTTATATCGTTTTTTCTTTTTCAAACATATTTTTATATTCAGATCTTATAGAATATATGACCACTTGACCAGGTCAAATATTCTCCCGTTCAATTGACCCGTCAAAATCTAGTCATTTGACTGGTCATTTGACTGACTTGCTAACCCTGGCCAAAATTGATTGATAAATTTATAAATATTAAGTCATCAGACAATAAATAGGAATGCTACCCAGATATCAATTTCGCCAATAAATATCAAGATTTAACTAATAAACTCAATGATTAATATATTGATAAAGCTGAGTTCCTTGTGCGCGATTATTAAAAAATAAGAACTTCGAAGGAAAGGATAGGATAGCGAAAAAAGTGTATTTCAATAACAAATTTCATAAACCAGTCTAAGTTAATTAATCATTGTAAAAAATTTTTAAGGTTATAAGAAAATTACAAACTATGTGAATTAAAAAAATATTATTCAAATAATATAATTATAAAAAAATGATTCAAAATAAATTAGTCATTATTAGCAATTACCGCGATATTAAATTCTCTATAATATCTTCGCGATATATGTTTCGCGAAATAATTGTCGCTACATTGTCTTCGCGATTTGGGTTTCGCGATAATAATTTCGCTATAAAATTTTCGCGATTAAAGTTTCACGGTAATGTATTCGCATTAAAGGTTTCGCGATAAAAGTTTCGCTATAAAAAATTCGCGATATTTGTTTCGCTATATTGTATTCGCGGTAATGTATTCGCTATAAAGGTTTCGCGATAAAGGTTTCGCTATAAAAAATTCGCGATATTTGTTTCGCGATATTGCATTCGCGGAATAGTATTCACTATTATGGATTCGCGATAAAAGTTTCGCTATAAAATCCATTCGCGATAAACGACATTCGCGATAAAAGTTTGTTTCGCGATAAAATTTTCGCTGAATTGACATGGAACCAAATCAATCCCGTTTTAAAAATTTGAAAAATCTCAAATTTTGAATATCGGGGGGGGGGGGGGGGGGGGGCTAACTTCACGCTATAATATAAGGTTTAAAATTTGATTTCCGAAATAAATAATGAAGATAAAGCTTAATTTGAGGCATCATTAGGAAGAGAAAAAAATTCTCTACCGTTGTACGTTAAAAAAATTTTTTTTTAAAAAAATGTTGAGTGTTTTTTATTTTTGGCGCCATATCTTTAACGGTCAATAGCTGGAAAACGGTAATAGTACAAATCGAGTTTGAAACGGTACAAATCGGGTACAAATCTATCCCGTTTTAGAAATTTTAAAAATCTCAAATTTTGAATATCGGGAGGGGGGGGGCTAACTTCACGCTATAATATAAGGTTTAAAATTTGATTTCCGAAATAAATAATGAAGATAAAGTTTAATTTGAGGCATCATTAGGAAGAGAAAAAAATTCTCTACCGTTGTACTTTAAAAAATTAAAATAAAAAAAATGTTGAGTGTTTTTTATTTTTGGCGCCATATCTTTAATGGTCAATAGCTAGAAAACGATAATAGTACAAATCGAGTTTGAAACGGTACAAATCGGTACAAATCGGGTACAAATCAATCCCGTTTTAAAAATTGGAAAAATCTCAAATTTTGAATATCGGGGGGGGGGCTAACTTCACGCTAAAATATAAGGTTTAAAATTTGATTTCCGAAATAAATAATGAAGATAAAGCTTAATTTGAGGTATCATTAGGAAGAGAAAAAAATTCTCTACCGTTGTACGTTAAAAATTTTTTAAAAAAATAGATGTTTAGTGTTTTTTATTTTTGGCGCCATATCTTTAACGGTCAATAGCTGGAAAACGGTAATAGTACAAATCGAGTTTGAAACGGTACAAATTGGGTACAACGTTTTAAAAATTTGAAAAATCTCAAATTTTGAATATCGGGGGGGGGGGGGGGGGGGGGGGCTAACTTCACGCTAAAATATTAGGTTTAAAATTTGATTTCCGAAATAAATAATGAAGATAAAGCTTAATTTGAGGTATCATTAGGAAGAGAAAAAAATTCTCTACCGTTGTACGTTAAAATTTAAAAAAATAAATGTTGAGTGTTTTTTATTTTTGGCGCGATATCTTTAACGGTCAATAGCTGGAAAACGGTAATAATACAAATCGAGTTTGAAACCGTACAAATCGGTACAAATCGGGTACAAATCAATCTCGTTTTAAAAATTTGAAAAATTTTAAATTTTGAATATCGGGGGGGGGGGGGGCTAACTTCGCGCTATAATATAAGGTTTAAAATTAGAGTTTCCGAAATAAATAATGAAGATAAAGCTTAATTTGAGGCATCATTATTAAGAGAAAAAAATTCTCTACCGTTGTACGTTAAAAAACTTTTAAAAAAAAAATTTGAGTGTTTTTTATTTTTGGCGCCATTTTTTCAACGGTCAATAGTTGGAAAACGGTGATGGTACAAATCGAACTGAAAACGGTCCAAATCGGTACAAATCATTTTCTATCGACCTATTCACTTTTTGTTTTTAAGTTCAAAAGTTGGGGGGCTGTCGTGAAGTTGGCCCCCCATTTTGTTCTTTGAATATCTCAAAAACGGTGATGGTACAAATCGAACTGAAAACGGTACAAATCGGGTACTAATCACACCAACTGATAAACCATTGAAAATCAAAAATTGCGGGGCCAACTTCACGGACCTTCAGACAACATATTATTTTCTTTACGCATTAAAAAATGTATTTCCCAGATGGGTGGGAATAGAAGTAGAACTCTGGGTCAGACATTTGCCTCTCCCTTTTATTATTTTATTTTTTTTTTTTTATTGAATCAATTTAAATGTGTTTTTCTTAAACTTTTTTATATAAGTAGTTTTATTTTAAATATTCAATAAGGAGAAAGAAAGCATGTAAAATATAAATAATTTTTACAAGCTTTTCCTCATGCCCCAGTCAATATAAATAAATTTAATGGATAATATACGAATAGAATAGAATAGAATAAAGTGTGTGAATGTATTAAATAAGTTACGGAGGAATTCTTAATATATTTTTATAATTTATTTTAAAAATAAGAAAAAAACAAGTGATTTCAAAATGAAAATATATATTAATTTATATATATATTTTGTTGTAATTTATATATATATTTTGTTGCCTTGAGATATACAAATAAATATCACTGAACTTTAAATATAAATTATTTAAGTATTTAAATATATAATAATTTAACTGAACTTTAAATATAAATTATTTAAGTATTTAAATATATAATAGCGCACATGCAACATGCACTCCCTCCAAAATAAAAAATATATATAAAAAAAATTTTTTAAAACTTTAAAACACAACATTGTACAAAAATATGGGGAAGGAAAGAACTCGTTTGGCATGAGAGAGGTAATTTATATTTATTTTTAAGAATGAAAATATATGTATAAAGGGGAATTGGCACCATAGTTGAACATGATAGTTTTTTATGTAATTACCCTTACAAAAGGTATAAATTACACTATCAATAGGTACAATTCACACTATAGGTGGCCAATAAACAATAAATATATTTGGAATAAAATTTATATAATGAAGAAAATTATTTAATCAAAAAAAACAATCATTAAAATATATGATAAAATTTGGAGATGGTGATAAAAAAAAATATAAGAAAAGCGTATTATCATAGAAAACAATTATAATTAAAGAACCATTATAATCTAAATGAATAATTTTGACCTTAGAAAATTTGAATTTCAAATGACATTCCTGATCCTCTCAGTGAAAATACCCCCACGCCATAATTGATTGATGCTCACTTTGAAAAAAAAAACGGAGTTGCTTAAAGTTAATTCTCAAAATTTAATTCTTTTAAAATTAAGGTAGTAAATCAAAGTCATTGTCATTTCTTTTAAATTTAAGGTTATAATCAAAGTCATTGTCATTGGACAATCAACCGATTCCTATTCGAAGTGATAACGGATTATTAAAAGTTAAAAAATTAACCCTATCTCCTATCTCTTTAGTATTAAAATCAAAATTAAATCTAATCAAATCAAATTCTTTGATCCCATCTAGACCACATAAAGGTGGTCCCTCCCCTTCCAAAACATAAAAATCTAAATATTTAATCGTATTTAGAAATTTGACATTACAATTAATAACTTTACCAATGACTATGATAGGCGACCCTTCATAAGTGACACAACTTCATCCTTCGTAAGCTTTTCAAACTCTTTCATGGACAAGGATGACACCGGAGAACCAGTATCTATCATAAAAGAAAAATCATAATTATTAACTTGAAGGTCAATCATAATATCATTAATAAAATTAATTTTTTCTTGGCCTTAAATTATAAGGGGTTTGTATCATCTCCGTCTTTTTGAAATTGTTGTAATTGCTGTTGATGTTGTTGTTGCTGCTGCCGTTGTTGTTGTTGTTGCTGCTGTTGTTGTTGTTGTAATTATTGTTGTTGTTGTTGGTCTTAAAAGTCTGCTTGTTCTCTTTCCAAGACGAATAGCCTTGCCAATCGGTTCTATCCTCTCTTCTCCAAGAATCTTTCCCTACATATGTTTTATTATTATTGATCTCCAACGATTGAAATTTGACAACAATGTCCTCTATAATATTAATCTCTGTAGTATTTTCTTCAGTCAACCTTGTTTTTAGCTTTTCATTACGACAATTCAACATAAATTGCACCAACAAAAATTCAGGATTGAGCCCCGAACTATACCCTTTCAGTCTATCGAAATACTCTCTGGAAGACTCAAGTGTGTCCGGTTTTGTATTGAACAACTCCAAAATACGCGTGATCTTGTTCTTTTCAACTTTCTTTTGTACTAAATCTTTCATTTGTTGATATGATAAATTGTCAATGTTATCCATGATACTCACAGCCATCTCTTTATCCAATGTTTCGAATAATTTATATTTTTTGTAGCTTCATCTATAATATTCTCTGCAAGAAATTTCAGATCCAACGTCTTCAATAATACCTTGATCTTTACATCATTCCTATCCTCCACCATAATGGATAATATAGTATTTAAATATATAATAGCACACATGCAACAAAATTTAGACCATGCTCACCCCTAGTGTTAAAGCTCGTTTTGAGACGATTTTTAAAATGGCTAGCTCAATATTTTAGCCAGATAAATAATACCTAAACCTCGAGATTTTGCTAATAGATGTTCAAACCTTTTTTCCTTCTGCAAACAAATTCTACAGGCTGCATAATAGTATTCTGATTTTTTAATGGGTAAGCGGAAAATAATTCCCCTATAATATTTCTTAGAAAATAACTCACTAAAATTGATTTAATATTTTTAAATATTTTTGTCGTAAAAAGATCATTTTTATTTAGTGCATCTTTCTAGTTGAACTCCATTCTTGCATATTGTAGTAAAGAAGTAATCTATTGTAATATTTTATCATATTATATATTATATTTGACAGTTAGATATGATTATATATATATATATATATATTTACGATTAATATAATAGGTGGTTTAACTTCCTAATGTATTATGTACAAATCAATCTATTAACGTGTAATATATCGCCATTTATAATTAAGTTGCACCTTATGTTTAATTATACTGAATAAAATGTCAATGAAAACTGATATCTATTAAATGAGTTATAGAAATAAATAAATATAAATAATGGTTTTACTTTCGTTAAAGTGGCGACGACGTGGATTCTAATATTCTAATTAAAACAAGTAAGAAAATAGTTATTAATTTTATAAATTATGCCTCAGTCCAAAAATACAAGTATTATTGATAAGTTAGAAAAATATCAAATTAATGGGTCTATACAACGTTGATTCCAATTTTGGGACGCAGCGTTAAGACTAAAGAACTGGACACCGACCGATCAAGAAAATAAGGACTTGTTCATGGTGAGTTTTAGCGCTGAGGGCATTGACATTCTCGAACAATATTTATTTCCTGAAACCATTCTAACAACTAAATTTGATAAGATAAGAAGTGTCTCGCTACATATTTTTGAGAAGAATAAAACCCTTTTCGGTAGTATATTAGACTTCATAAGGTTAATTAGGAATGAGAATGAACCAATTGGAGAGTTCACTAATAGAATCAAAATAACTGCGAAAGCGTGTTGTTTTACGCCGTCAGAAGTTGACGGCCGGTTAAGAGATCAATTAGTTGCGGGTATAGATCTACCAGGTCTTGAAGTTGAACTTAGGACTAAATTTCCATTAGCATTGGATGTAAACAAAAAGCCCCTGACGTTCAAGTTCGTGCTAGATATGGCCACGGAAACAGAAAATGCTCAAAACGAAATGACTATCAAGAAAGACTTGGTAAATAGTGTCAGACCGCAAGATTGCAAACATAAAATGCCTAATTCACAAGAGTGTGTTAAGAGAGACATTAATTATAGGAAGTCTAATAACAAGTTTTACGATAATAAATGTAAGAATTGTGCCGGCTGGCATGAAAGATATTTATGCCCAGCTAAAGACAAAACATGTTTTAAGTGCCAAAGAACAGGACATTTCGCAGCATGTGGCCGTAGTAAGCCTGTATATCGCAATTTAAACTCAGTGAAACCACATTTTCACTGGTTAATGATGCTTACTACCAAGTGAATGTATGGAAATATTTTAAATACCAATCTAATTTGCTAAATACCGACCAAAATTTATTAAAATGTAATAAGACCCTTATTATTTAATATATTAATACGGAATCACGTGGTCGAGTCCGGCTTCCTATATATCATCCCCCCAAGGATGGAACCCCCAAGTTAGAATAAGAAAAAAAACATGATCATTCCCGGGATTCGAACCCGGGAGCATAGGATAAGTAAGCCAAGCTCTTGCCTACTAGGCCATAGAGTCTTTCCAAAAATCACGATTTTTCAAATATATATTATAAATATATTTGGTAGTGCCTATCCAAATGAAAAATGCAAAATTCAAATTTGATAGATGGTACCTTAAGGTACCAAGCATCATTAACCTATCAAGTGATTCAATTAATAATATCTGGACAAGGGGATTAAATAAAAGGGCAAAGATCACAGCCAAAATAAATAGACTTAGTATCACTTTTGATTATGATACAAGAGCACAAGCCTCTATTATAGGATTGAATATTTGGGAGAAAATTGGCAAACCACTAACATCTTCCACAAACCCATTAGCAGCCTATGGAGATAAGCCTTTGGATCTTATGGGTGAAGCCATGGTTCGTGTGCAAGTGGGGAAGGAAATTCGCAATTTATCAGTTATTATAATAAAGTCAAATGACCTACCTCTGCTTGGGTTGCCATGGATTTTAGCATTTGGGTTTGAGTTATGAAAAAGGTAAGCATACAACAGGTTCTCAAAACGAATAGAAAAACAATAACTTCAAGTTGCCACCAAACCAACGATGACCAGATAGGCCGCTCGAATACAATCGGTGCCCCCGCGGACCGAAGCCCCGATGGGCCGTTCGAATACAATCGATGCTCACACGGATCGAGGATGTCACTAACAGAAAACGTAATGGGGCATTTGTTAGCTAAACAGTTTAAAGCTGTTTTTGACGGCAAACCGGGGTTGATACGTAATTTCGCTGTGCGACTCCAATTAAAAGATACGGCTGTTCCAAAATCGTTTCCAGCTCGTCGAGTGCCATTTCCATTACGCAGAGCGGTTGAACTAGAACTTGATCGCCTTGTGGCTGCGGAGATTTTGGAGCCCATCGATTCCTCTATAACTAGGGTGCCATGGGCAACCCCAACAGTAAATATCAGGAAAACAATGGCGAGATTCGTATTTGCGCAGATTTCAAGGTGAGTTTAAATCCCCATCTATTATATGATCATCACTTTATTCCTACCCTGGATGACTTATTGGTTAAGATTCAAGGGGGGAACCGTTTTACGGTGATAGATTTAAAGGACGCGTATCTACAAATGGCCGTTGAGCCAGAGTCCCAAGAATATTTGGTCATCTCAACACATAAAGGATATTTTCGATACCGAAGGATGCCGTTTGGGCTTTCGTGCGCACCAACTATTTTCCAGCGTTATGGACAATGTTTTGAAAGATTGCCCGATGACTGGAGTGTATTTGGACGATGTAATTATCTCCGGCAAAAATGACGCTGAACATCTGGCTAATTTAAAAATAGTACTCGATAGGCTGCAGGAAGCAGGTCTCAAATCTAAGTTTGAAAAAGTCCAATTTTTACGGAAATCTGTTTCGTTTTTAGGTATCGTTATCGACCAAAATGGGGTACATCCAAGCGAAGAGAAAGTTAAATCAATCCAGGCCGCACCTAACCCCAAGAATGTTCATCAGTTACGTTCATTTCTTGGGCTTGTCACGTATCATGAACGGTTCATTCCCAATCTTCATAGTGAAGCAGCTGTGTTACATCGATTGACTAGTGTAAAAGTACCATGGTGTTGGACTAATGTAGAGCAGGAGGCTTTCGATAAAGTTAAGACATTGTTATCAACAGAAGAAACCTAAACGCCATATAATGCTAAATTACCGTTGATTATGGAGTGTAACTCGTTAGATACAGGACTGGGGGCTGTTTTACTTCATAAGGTATCACAAAACGCGGAAAAACCCATGGCATTTGCGTCTCGGACGTTGTTACAGTCGGAGAAACATTATGCGACTATCGATAAAGAAGCGAGGGCATTGTTATTTGGAATAGAAAAATTTCACAACTTTATCTACGGTCGAAAATTTATATTTAGGGCAGACCATAAACCCTTGGAACGGTTGTTCGGGGAAAAGAGGGATCTGTCAAAGATATCGAACAATCGTCTGACACGTTGGGCCTGGAAGATGGCCGCTTACGACTTTAGCGTGGAATATAGATCTGGTCGGGAAAATGTTATAGCAGACGCCTTATCTAGGCTACCGCTCCACGATATCATACCTAATCGGGATACCAAGCATGCATTGGCGATTCGGAACGTAAACTTAGAGGATATGCAGGTCTCAGAGGGAAACCTGCGCAAGAATTCAATTAAAGATCCAATACTAAAGCGAGTGGCACAACATATTGAGCAAGGGTAGAGAGGCTTTAATCGGAAAGAAGAACCGGAGCTAATAATCTTTCACACCCAACGAGAGGAATTAATAGACAGGGGAATCGTTGAACGAAATGGTAGATTGATAATCCCTACGAAGCTTAGGAATTCAGTGTTGGAAACACTACATCGGGGACATCCGGGAATGAACGCGATGAAATCTATTTTTCGATTGTATTGTTGGTGGCCGAAATGCGAAGAGGACATAGAACGGTATATAAAGCTGTGTGTTGGATGTCAGAAAAATCGACCGAACGTAATGGAGTTACCACTATACTCATGGAATTGTACCAAAGAGCCATGGGAACGTATACATCTAGATTTTGCGGGACCGGTTGACTCTTTATATTGGCTAGTGGGAGTAGATTCATACTCAAAATGGGCTGAGGTAGACCTGATGAGAAACACATCGGCGAAGGAGATGATAACGAGATTAAAGAAGTGGTTTGCTACCTTTCTGTAACGGATAATGGACCTCAATTCATTTCAATAGAATTTAAGCGATTTTGTGAAGAAAACAACATTTGCCACATTCGCTCAACGCCGTACTACCCGAAGACAAATGGGCACTTTTTGAGACGATTTATAAAATGGCTAGCTCAATATTTTAGCCAGATAAATAATACCTAAACCTCGAGATTTTGCTAATAGATGTCCAAACCTTTTTTCCTTCTGCAAACAAATTCTACAGGCTGCATAATAGTATTCTGATTTTTTAATGGGTAAGCGGAAAATAATTCCTCTATAATATTTCTTAGAAAATAACTCACTAAATATTTTTAAATATTTTTGTCGTAAAAAGCATTTTTATTTAGTGCATCTTTCTAGTTGAACTCCATTCTTGCATATTGTAGTAAAGAAGTAATCTATTGTAATATTTTATCATATTATATATTATATTTGACAGTTAGATATGATTATATATATATATATATATATTTACTATTATAATAGGTGGTTTAACTTCCTAATGTATTATGTACAAATCAATCTATTAACGTGTAATTATATATCGCCATTTGTAATTAAGTTGCACCTTATGTTTAATTATACTGAATAAAATGTCAATGAAAACTGATACCTAATAAATGAGTTATAGAAATAAATAAATATAAATAATAGTTTTACTTTCGTTAAACATATAAACATTTAACATATATAATACTATTATCAACAGCACAGAGTGTTTTCCAACAAAATATTATATTAATATAATTTAAAAATAATGGAAATGAGTAATATGATAATTTCAATAAATATATATGTCGTATGGGGTTTCGGAATCGGTGGGGATTCGGCATTTCTCAATTTTAAATCATTTACTATGGACGATTTTTTGGATTCTAAAAATCTGATTTTATAGGAATTGAATTCCAGCATGTGTAGAGTATTTACCCTATAAATTTCAGCCCATTTCAGCGGTAGATATTTTAGTATTTTTTTAATTTATATGGATAATCCATATAAAAATTAATATAAATTCATGGAAAAATTGTTTGAAATTTACAGTTTGGGTATTCTACCCAAGCTAGAATACATTTCCGATTAAATCGAACTTTAAAATTTTTTAAATCGCTCTCGATAAAGGATTTAAAATCAAAAGATTTCGAATCCCAATACGACATATTTACTAAAATAATTTCAAAAGGGAGTTTAGAATTAGATAATTGTCTAGTTTTAAATTATATCAGAACATTTTTACTTATGTTTAATATAAAAATATATAAAATGAGTAATAAGACAATTGTCACTTTTATAGGTAGTAAGCACATTACTACAAAAAATTAGAAAAAGCTTAATAATAACAATGTCACTTTTTTATGGTACATCTTCACTGAAATTAAAAATGCTCAAAATATATAATTTTACCTATAAGCTTTAAAAAATTTAAAAATAATGGTTATGACAATTGTCACTATTCTAAGATACATATTTGATGAAATTTTAATTTAACATGTTTATAAAAAATATTTTTACCTATTTACTTTTAAAAAATTTAAAAATATTCATAATTAACTATTATGGCAATTGTCACTGTTCTATGGTAAATCTTCACTGAAATTTTAATTTAACATGTTTACAAAACATATTTTTACTTATTTGCTTTAAAAAAATTTAAAAATGTTGATAATTATCGATTATGACAATTGTCACTTTTCTATGGTACATCTTCACTGAAATTTTAATTTAACATGTTTACAAAACATATTTTTACTTTTGCTTTAAAAAAATTTAAAAATGTTGATAATTATCGATTATGACAATTGTCACTTTTCTATGGTATATCTTCACTGAAATTTTAATTTAACATGTTTACAAAACATATTTTTATTTATTTGCTTTAAAAAAATTTAAAAATGTTGATAATTAATGATTATGACAATTGTCCCTTTTCTATAGTACATCTTTACTGAAATTTTAATTTAACATTTACAAAACATATTTTTACTTATTTACTTAAAAAAAAACTCAAAAAAGTTTAAAAATTACGTTTATGACAATTGTCACCTTTATATCCTTTATAATCACTGAAACCATTTTGAAACATGCTCAACTAGCTTATTTTAATTAAAATTATTTTTAAAGGTTCTGAGAGAGTATGTCACTTTTATACTTTACATTAAATATAAAACATGAATTATGACAAAACACCAAATATTAAAAAATATGTAATCGTTAAATTCTCACATTTACACAACTTATGAAATAATATTTTTCTAAGATTAAAAAATAAAATAAAAGCATATATCAAAAATTTTATTTTTTAAAAATCACAAAATATTTGTACAAAAAATTTTAGGATCAAAAATGTTTTATTATAATAAAGATTTTCTTACTAAAGATTTTAGTATATTATAAAATTACAAAAAATTTTTCTCAAAATCATAGAAGATTTTTTTACAAAATTTTTTTTAGCGAAAAAATCTTCGCATTTTTTGATCTTCAAAAGAGCCACGATCTGTGAAGATTTTTGAATTTTGAGCAATTGTTAAACCCTGGCTGCAAATAAAATTGTGCAAATCACTTATTGCTTTCCACAAACAAAAAATGAAAGTTTGATAATAAATATATAACTATTAAATATCTTTTAAAGGTAAAACTTGCTGTTCAAATTTTTAGTGCATCTGTTGCAAATAGCCTTCTTTTTGCCCAGCATCAGGAGATTCCTGGGTTTAAAAATTGTGATGGTACAATTAATTTTTGATGATAGAAGTAAAATAAAAATAACGAAATAAATTTATGAAAAACTTATAGAATGTTTTATTACCTTAATACAAGAAATTGCCTTGGTAAAGGATATAAACCCCCTATACTAATAAAATTGCAGAATATGAAACTCATTT